ACAAAATCATTAGTATCTTACACTTAATGGTTAGTGCATTATACGGACCATAAACATGAAACATACTCCTATGGTTCGTCTTCATTCCAAATTGATGAGTTGACTGTCAAATGAGGCAATGAGTTGCTCGTGAGCCAAGCTCAGGTTGAGCACGTTTCACACTTTCACTCACGAGTCGCGAGCTACAGAGTAAGCTCGAGGCCTCGAGTTCAGCTTGCTTGGACTAAGCCTGACCTGGCCCATTGCCATCCCTACTGCTTGGTATAGGAGCCAAGTTAGCTTGAACTTGGGCTGAGCCCAATCAAAGTAGATTTCTGGCCCAACCTCAAGAACAGTCAATGACCATGATGAGTTGGGTGCAATTTTCTTCTTCCAAAGAAATGGTGCCTGTGAGCTAATTTATGAGCTGGTCGCGTACCGGGAAATAGGAGCCCCGTTCGATAGGGAGATTGTGGCTTGGAGTTTTTTTAAAAAACTTTTAAATTTTTTAAAAAAATACTTCTAAAACTTATTTTCCAAATCCGAATCTTTTATGCATGCTAGGATGTCTGGCGTGACACTGTCACGCCACCCACAACGTGACAATTTTGTGTCCGACCACATTAGCCACGGTGGCGTGGTAGGACAACGCTGCCACGCCCACCAGACCAGCATGACTAAATAACGTTGACATGCTATTTAGATCAGTGTGGCAGTATTATTTTGCCACGACAGTCTGATCAAAATGTTCAGATATTAAAAATAAGTATAAGAAAGTTTATTCTTAAAACTAAAAATTAAAGAAGTTTAAAAAAATTATTTAGCTTACTCTCTCCGTCCTAAAATAAACAAAATTTATATGAGATACAATATTTTCTATTACTATGAATCTGGACTCCACCTCTTGTCTAAATTCATTTTAGACCGTTGTGCAACAGTTTCATTTTTTTTTGGACAAACGATGTAAGTTTAGAAGCCACCCGCAAAATAATCAAGATAATTAATGTATGATTAATTAAAAATTAGCTACTGTAAACTTGAAAAATAAAATTATTTGATTTTCTAAAGAAATATCTATATTTTGCAAAAAAAAATATACCATGTTAAATATTTTAGAAAGTTTGTTCACAGTAAGCGAACAAGTAGCTCCATTTGATAAGAAAAAAAAAAAGCATTGCCTTAAGAGCAAGCCAGATAGCATAGCGTTTTTGCCCAAGTGCCCAACTAGGGTTCTATTTGAAGGTGCACGAATGGGAACACAATTTTCCTCTCACACGTATAACAAAGTGGATCATTAGCACTTTACTAATTTAGTATTAACTAAAAAATAAAAAGGATTAATATGTTTTTTTAAAAGCAATCTTTCTATAGATTTTCTTTTTTAAAAAAAACTATTTAACAGTTTGAAAAGCGTGCACATGAAACAAGGAATAGAGAAGTTAGTAAAGTGTAGATAAGAACAGGTCTCTGCATCAAATATTGTTCTTTTTAATGCAAAATCATTTGTCATTTCATTTTTTACACTTAAATGAATGCCTTTTACATATAAGTCATTCTAGAATACCTATGCATTCTTTCAGTTATGTTCACTCATGCCAAATAAATGTGTGATCTTTTGCAACACAGTATAATAAATACAAGTGGATATATATATAGTAAGAATTTAGTCAAGTTAGGTCTCTTTGAGTTTGTATTAAGAGATACATTTGTGGGTCCATGGGTCTATAAATGAGGTGCGTGTGCATGTTCTGCGCATAATCGGGAAAAGGGTCAATTAAGCTCCTTTTGTAATTATAATTTTTATTTTTTGTTAGCACATTTTCCAAGTTGCTAAACAGTTTGTTTTTTCGAAAAAAAAATTCAAAAAGAATCAAGTAAACTTTTTTTTTAAGTTTATAATAATTAATACTTATTTAACTAAGCGCTGATGATTTTTTTTTCGTTTTCTGTTCTCTGAAAATACCAACCAGATTGTCCATTCGTACACACCTTAGTCATTTAAGCTACTTTCTTGAAGCTTGCACAAAATGTTAAAGGACTTACATTTCGTAGAGGAGATTAATGCATGCCGTGTTGTCTTGTGATGCGGTCCTTGTAGTTAGTAGTCCCACCTAATTCCACCCTCCGTGCAGCGGCGCACCCGTGTGAGGAAAGAAGCGCAATGTGTGTGAGGTGGCGTGAGTCGTTCAATGTTGATCTAACGGTCGAGAGATGGATGTATCAAGAGGGTTTGCAATACCGCTGGCTGGTTACCTCAATTACCGTGGGGGTCCGTTAAGGGTAACCGGCGGTATGTTTTGATAAATTTCATCTGACTTCAAATTTAAAAGGAAAATGTAAAAAGCTCAGGAAAAAATCATGGAAATAGTACTTAAATTGCATAATTATCTGCTGAAGGAATATTTTTAAAAAAGAGTCTGTTAACATCATTATCTCGAGGCAAACATTAAAGATAATAAAAAGAACAAGTAATATAGGGCAACCAGAGGTGGTGGTGCTAATGGGTGATCACCAGTGACCAGTCGCACGGGGCTGCATCTGCGCATGCGCAGTTAGAGCGGAGCTAGCGTCAAAACAAGAGTGGTGTAGTACCACTGAAAATATAAAAATATTCTATGCAAAACTGTATATTTTAGTGTTTTTAAGTGTGGAATTATGAGTTTAAGGGGTTCCTGTGCACCACCTAAATTCAATGTTGAGCCACTGCGCACGGTTAATTAGGGCCCCTTAGTTCTCTATACATATATTTGTATGCATATATAAAGTTTATACGAATGTATATGAAGTATATACAGACAAATACAGCACACTAAGTGTCATCTAGTCACGTAGCGCATTTGGCCTAGCGTGCTAGTAATTTTTTTACTATATCAATATCTCGCGCTCCTCTCTATATGGATTGGTTGACCAGCACGTAAGAAGTTTTTTTTTTTACTTTGAATACTATAGGTGGGAAGTGGAAGCTCTTGGGAATATATAGTAAAAGAAAGAGTAAATTTTACTTTCGGCCTCACTTTTTTATTATTAATATTTTGTTTTAGACCATCATTTAAAAAATATTTTTACTTTGAACTAGGTAAATTTACCTTTGTTGTACTTTGGGTCACTCTCAACTATTTTACCTATCCGCATAAACTTGTCATATATCAAAGCAATAGTCTAAACATGTCCGTGCGGAGTTCATTAACGAGTAGAAACCAACGTACTCGATATTGTTTATATGCTTGAGAAGAGTGTGGTGACGGTTCAAAGTGTACCAAAAGATAAGATTACCCGGTCCAAAGTGAAAATATTAGTTAAATGTGATCCAAAGTAAAATTTACTCTAAAAATAATTACCATGTCGAGTGAGGTTTGGGTGTTGCATTCTCCTGAGTCGAAAGTTTACTATTGATTTATCCTGAGGCGTGTTTATAAAAAAATAGTGCCGTGTTTATAAAAAATTAAATGATGGATACATAAGTTATATGGTGTTGTTCAGAAACTTACAAACGATGATGGATACACAAGTTAATATGTGTTACTAAACGGTGGATGCGAAGTTACGTGTTACTAGAAAAATCACAATGTTGCGAAAGGCCTTGTAGCCTAATGGTTATAAGAGCCTCAGTAGCACCTTAGGTTTTGGGTTCGACTATCCATGGGAATAAATTTTTCAGGATTTAACAACATTATGTTTTCAGTGGTAGGCGATATACCCGTCGACAGCGAGACGTCTATGGTGACTTCGTCAATCTCCAGGATTTGCGTTAATACAACGAATCTGGACATGCTCATGTCCAGATTCATTGTACTATGAAGTGTCCCATTCTTGCCTGCATGTCCAGATTCGTTGTACTATAAAGTGTTACATATCCTTGTCTAGGTTGGCTTTTTTGGGACGGAGGGAGTACGTGTTAGGCCCTGTTTAGATTCTAACTTTTTTCTTTAAACTTTCAATTTTTTCGTCACATCGAACTTTCCTACCCACATAAACTTTTAACTTTTCCGTCACACCCTTAGTAAAAATATCACTGAAAGACTAATGTGGGAGTGATTCGTGTCAGTAATTTTATTACTGAACAATCTCTGCGGAAGTTCTTGTAAAAAATTACTCAAAGAGCAATTAAGAAAGTTAGTGTCAATTAATTTTTTAGTAAATTTATTACTTTTAGGATACGGAAGTGGGAGAGCATGGAGGCTCCGGAAACAACGAGTAATTTTTTTTACTCTTTAACGGATGGTGAGGTGAAAGAACTTGTGAGGCGTCCTACATATAGCTACGTAGCAGTGTAGCACCTTGCGTGCTATGTAGCGTTACCACCATGCTTTAATCTATGGTAGTGTTTGAATATTCTGAACATGAAAATGAAAATAAAGATTAAGTTTTTCATGTAAAATGAGATGGTAATAACGTATGATTAATTAAGTTTTAATTATTACAAACTTAAAAAATAGATTAATCTGATATTTTAGAACAACTTTCATATAAAAAATTTTCACACAAAACGCACCGTTTAGTAGTTTGAAAAACGTGCAACATTAATCTAAAATTTTATCCACCCTTTTAAGTAGATTCGAATGGGGCCAATATAGAAACATATATATACATATACATATACATATTTATATGTATACATATATATATATATATATATATATATATATATATATATACATATGTATATGTACACATATATATATACACATATATATATATATATGCATGTATACATGTATATATATGGATATATACATATATATGTATATAATATATATACATATATATATATATATACATACATACATACATATATATATATATATACATACATGTATATACATACATACATGTATATATATACATATGTACACATATATATATATATATATATATATATATATATATATATTATATGTATATGTAGATTGTTTTAAGGTAACAGTTAGCTATACTATTAAACTTGTCTAAAACGGTATGGTAAATCTTAATCAAGAGTTGTGTGAAAATTGCTTGTATACTGTTTAGCTTAATTGCTCAAGTTTTTTTTATAATGCACGAAAACATATTACCCCATTAGTTTCAGATTGACAATTTATCCCATTCAGAGAATGTACTGGGTACTACGGAGTACTTTGAAAAGATCAATGCAAGTCGACTGCACACGCTCGGTTTTCAATACACGTTCCGTTCTCCACACCCAAAGAAGCACGTACGCCGTACATACAAATCTGCGTTCAGCACCAGGAACTTTCCTAACCCAAACCAACCAGATTACCGCTAGTCAAATTAAACAGACATCTCCCCCAAGTATTCCTCTCTCCCTCTCCTTTTCTTTTCTTTTCTTTTCTTTTCCAGGGCAAACCAAGCGAGAGAGACTTCAAGAACGGACAATGACCATAATGAATTTTGTGTAATTTTCTTCTTCTAGAGCAGTGGTGCCTGAACCAAATTTATGAATGGTCAGGTGTCTTAGGCCATGCCCTACGCACCACTGTGGTCAACCCTTCACGTCGGAGACAAGCCGTGGCTTTGGGAACCATGGCTCTGCGATGCCTTGCCGCACCTGCAAAGATCATGATTGCCTCGGCACGAGTTTGAGAGTTGCAAAACCACTGCTTTGGGGCCACACGTTGGGTGAGCTCGTGTCCCCATGATGTGGTCATGTCCACTGAACTCCCCCTAACAAGCGTGGTGGGATGAAGCAGTGGCCAGAAGCAAAGGTTACGAGAAATGGCGGCCAGATCCAGATCAGGGTGACCTACCTTGACCAGATCTGAGATAACGACGGCGATAGTGAAGGGGAAAGGCTGACCTCATGTCCATTTATCGCATGGGGCTCGTCGGCCTTCAGCACTTGAAGCTCACTACCACCGATCTCATCACCCTCTGGCGAGCTTGTGGTTGTATGCGGTGGTGACCTCACTTCATCACTACCGTAGTCCCTCTCGTCAGTGAAGCGGGGATAGGGCTCGAGCTCGGTGGAGAGGGAAGAGAGCTTGATCTCGTCGATCGGAGAGGAGATGTGCTAGCTGCCGTCGGCGGAGAAGGAAAGGGGAAAGAGGCTAGTGGTGGAAGAGGAAGGCGGCGCAGTGGTGGATGAGGAGGGAGAGAGGCGGCGCTACAACATTGGAAGAAGAGGCGCCACTATGGTGGCAAAAGAGGAGGCGGTGACATCGAGACTCGAAAAGATGGGATTGGGGTTTCGGTGGCCGGTGGAGAATCCGGGGGGGGGGGGGTAAGGTGGAGAGGCTGATAGTGGGACCATGTATAGTTTAGAAGTATGTATGTATTTCTTTTTACTATTATAAGGCCCAAAATATAAAATTTCTAATTGATTCAATAACTAGGGGCAGACGCATAAATAATCAGGGGCTGAAATGAAAAATATACTCAACAATAGTCTCTGTTTTAGATTGCGTGGCTTTCATTTGTTCTTATCTTATTTGGCATGCTGAGACATTAGTACCAGTGGTCTTCACTGTACATGTCGTTAAGCCTGGTTCGATACAGAATTCGTGGCTTTTAAGCCACATGCAAACTAAAACAGTCATATTAATTAAATATTATCTATTACAAATTTTAAAAATAGTTTTATATAGTTTTTAAAAGAAATCTCTATTTGGAAAGTTTTTAGAAAAACGTCGTATTCAATAATCTGGAAAGCTTGCTCTCGGTAAATGAGGTAGTAAATGAGGAAGTAGCTAGCTCCAACAAGGAAAACGTAAGCCGGATAGCATAGGGTGTGTTTGGTTGCTCGTATGGATCTAGCCTGGCTCTTCTCCCTCATCCAGGCTAGAGACATACAGATGCAGTTGTTTGGTTGTCTGTATTGAATGAGCCAGGATGTGGTTAGATGTTATTTGGTTGGCTGCATAAAAAGGTGGATGGAACACTTGCATACAAGAGATGTTGTTTGGTTGGATGGATACATCTTTGGGTGTAGATATCTCCTCTTGTGGGTGGTGAGGTTACGAATATTTCTAAAGTAACCATTTTTTCTATAAAAATCAGTTATACTTACTAGGCATATGTGTTTTCTTGAGATGGTCATTTCAGAGTACAAGACTAAAATGAGCTGATCCATCTCCGTTCTCTGCCTTGGTACAGCCGTCGTCAAGATAATCAGCATGCATATCTACAAGTGACAAGATTTGACAAGAAGAGAAAAGAACATATTTCTGAACAAAATTCTGTTGACAAGATTCACAAAGAGCGGTATATATCAGAATTCACATCTTTCCAGGGTACCAAGCTAACAGCAAGAAAAATGACATGTGTAGACAAAAAATGAAATGAGCAGTATATATCAGAATCCATATGCTCACATCATATATGCAGTCATAAATAAAAGCTTCCATGCTTACATCTGTTCTTATGAATAAAACAGAGGAGCAGTGTTCATCATATCTAGCTTCTTCCCAGGTGACCCTAAAAAATATGAACAAGTGTACAAAATATGTTCTTATTTATGCATCACAAATCAGCACCATTCATCACGTGCATCCTTCACATTTGCACTATTCATCAGAAATGACCAGTTGCAAATAGTTTGACCAAGTTTGCATTTGTCGGTACAAATGGATGAACAAGGAACAAGAATAAAACAAGTGCAGAAGGACAATTTAACTCATGTCATTGCAGCATGGAAAACAAGTGCAGAAGGATGAAATTTAACATGAGGCAGAGATCATGCAACAATAATATGGTGTCCACTACACATTAACCATCACATAGCCATATGTGCATATATAAATTTGGTGTCCCACTACCACCTTAGTCAGAGAGTAACCAATATCCTACCAAAAAAAATCGAAGGAGGTGAGAAAGGGAAGAGGAATACCATCTTTGCACTTACCTCAGATCTTGACAGAGAGAGCTGAAGACGAGAGGCTGTGAGGAAGACGAGCAGCCGGCGGCGTAATGGGGAGGATATGAAAATCATGACTAGTTTTTTATATTGTGATTGCTCTAATGCCATCCTTCTCCGTGTGCATCCGCGTGAAGAAATAAATACAATATGTGTGGACAAGTTAGAAGTGGCATGGGTCGTTCAATCGAACGGTCGAGAGATGTATGAAGAGCAGTGTTAAAATTGGTTGTGCTGTTTAGCTTACCAAGTGATTTTTTATAAAACAAATTACCCTATTATTCTTTTTAGAGTGACAAATATCCCTATCTAGAGGATGTAGTACTACTTTGAAAAGATCAATAAACACAAGTCGACTGCACACGGTTTCATAATACACGTCCCTTCTCTACCCATACCCAAAGGAGCATGTACGCAGTACTTCCTCCGTTCCAAAATAAGTGCAGTTTTAGCATTGTTCATGTCTAACGTTTGACCGTTCGTCTTATTTGAAAAAAAATTATGATTAGTATTTTTATTGTTATTAGATGATAAAACATGAATAGTATTTTATGTGTGACTATTTTTTAAATATTTTTTATAATTTTTTTAAATAAGATGGATGATTAAAACGCTCAGCACGTATATTTATGGCTGCACTTATTTTAGGACAGGATAGTACATACAAATCTGCGTTCAGCCCCAGGAACTTTCCTAATCCTAACCTTCTAACCAACCAGAAGATTACCGCTAGTCAAACAGACATCTTCCCCCAAGTATTCCTCTCTCTCTCTCTCCTTTTCTTTTCTTCTTTTTAATTTTCATTCAGGGGCAAACCAAACCAAACCAAGCGAGAGAGACAACAGCACAGGACAGCGCAGGGTGGACTCGAGGTGGACCCCACCTGCCAGTGACCGCCGACCTCCCTCTCTCCTCTCGACTCTTTCAAGCTGCGAGACGAGAGGAGAGCAGATCGCTTACTTAGCCAGAGAGAGAGAGAGGAGAGAGAGGGAGGAGAGGTTCTCGCGGCGGCGAATGATTGGGGCGCATGTGTGGGACAACCAGATCCTAGCTGCTCATCGCGATACAAATCCCATCCCCGTCTCCCCCCCAATTCCATCGCTGTCCTCCAATCTCTCCTCTCTCCCAATCATCGTCTCATCTGCGCGCCGTCTCTCCCCCCGATTCGGCTTCGTCCCCGCCGCCGTACTGCGCCGCCGCCGGTGCCGACCTGCTGCTGCTGCGGGGGAGATCTGTCCGGGTGTGCGGCTGATTCGCTTTCCGTCGGTACGATTTCTCAAGCTTTTGTTTGGGGGGGGGGGGGGGGTGGGGCGGTTCGATTTGCTGTGTGCGCGTAGGTAGAGGCTGCGACGACGCGGTCAATTTCAAATCTAGCTCGCGGGACCGCGTCCAATTTCGTGCGGGGGCGGCTGCTGGGTTGCGGTAGATTAGTGATTTAGTGGTCGCGTTTCGCGTTCCCGAGAATGGTCGGCGATTGTCGACTTGGGGGGAGAGATTCATCGGTCCGCATCTCGAATGAGCTTGTTGTAGCGGGTTGTCTACTAGTAACGATTAGTTCAAATTTTAGGGAGCTGTTTCTATTGTGTTTGAATTTTGAACCAACTTATGCTATTTGGGAAGCACTGATTTGTTGTTATCTTGCTTCGTTGTGACTGTGGTTTGTGAATCGACAGCTGCAGCTCTACAGGTTTCTTCGGCAGCAACTGTAGTAGAAAAGAAAGAGGGGAAGATTCGCAGTTCATATGGCAAAACCTGCTAATAGCATTGGCCGTAGGTAGGTTTGATACTGCAGCTACTGTTTATTCTTAACTGTTTCTTTTCCGTTTCTAGCGCTGATTGATAATTTATCTGTTGCCCACTTGTCTAGTAACACCAACCAAGTGTTCTTTTTCTTTCTACGGTGCTCATGGTTGCACATTGTAATTTAATTGTGAACATTCATCATCAACAGCACGCCAAGATCAAATGAGGGGATGAGGCTCATATTCTCGGCAGTTGTTGGTGTTATGTTGGGATACTTGTTTGGGGTTTCCTTCCCTACAGTAAATATAACCAAGGTGAAGTAGATCGTTTGCTTCTCTTGTTTTTTCTCATCATGTATTTTGTTTAGGAAAATAATCTTTACTTTCTACATTACTGCATTTCGCAGCTTCACTTCCCTTCCAGTATTATCTCCTATATAGAAGATAGGAACTCTGGCATCACAACCCAGACATTGTTAAATCATGCGTGGGCATCTGCAAATCGTCATAACAAAAACAATTCCGATTCAACCTCTGAAGAAGTTCCTAAGGTACGTTCACATCAATACTTCTAATACTTTTTAAGGTTGTTTGTATTAGTTGAGTTGGGCAATATTCTAGTTGGGTTGGGGACTACATTTTGATATGTGGGGTCTGTTAATACCACTCCTGTGTTTCTCATGCATAATGTGTGAAGTTCTAGGCTGAAAGATTACATGAAGGACGATATCAGGGTTTTCTGTCTATATTAAAAGTTTTCTGTTGCATCTTATAAAATTATGATAATCGATGATTGAATCTTGAATTGTCGATATTAGTGTACTACAAGGGACTCTTCTCAACTAGTAATTAACTGAAAAGTAGTTGGTTACTGGTCATAGACCACATTTCCTATTGTTTATTTTGTTTTAAAGTCACATGCAATTCTTTCTGCAGATTTATGTTCCCACAAACCCTAAAGGTGCTGAAAGGCTCCCACCAGGCATTGTTGTTTCTGAAACAGATCTTTTTCCACGGAGATTGTGGGGTGATCCTAGTGAGGTTTGTGGTTTCTTTTGTTGTAACTTTGCTCAGTAGGGCATTGAATTAGATGGTTTCTATATCATTTTTCTTCTATGATATACAATCTGAAACATATGGTCGTACTGTCAGGACCTGAGTAGCGAACCACGGTACCTTGTTACTTTTACAGTTGGAATTACACAGAAGGCTAATATTGATGCTGCTGTCAAAAAGGTAACTGAGACGGACATCTTGCATTGCTTAAATTTGGTGCATCAATCAACTATACCCTGTAACAGATAAACAGTTAATCTTGCATTCCGGTGAACTGGTAGTCACTTTTTCTTAATGTAAATATGCAATTATTGCTTCTGAATTCATAGAAGCTTTTCATATAGTTTTCAGATAAATTCACTATCATGCTATTCCATTATGATGGCCGGACTACTGAATGGGATGAATTTGAGTGGTCTAAAAGAGCTATCCATGTGAGTGTCAGGAAGCAGACTAAGTGGTAGGTAAAGGTTATTGTTATTATTAATATGTTATCTGTGCTGAATCCATTTGAATTTTTGCTGTGAAGTCTTAATACTGTATGTACTTGTTGTTTTACCTAAGGTGGTATGCAAAGCGGTTTTTGCATCCTGATGTTGTTGCCCGATATGACTACATATTCATCTGGGATGAGGACCTAGGTGTTGAGCATTTCAATGCAGAGAAGTAAGAACTGCATTTTTGTTCCTTTATCTGTTGACCTTGTGTTCCACTTGGGTGCGATTATGTTTGTACTCTTTTTCAGGTATATTGAACTTGTTAGGAAGCATGGGCTAGATATCTCTCAGCCTGGTTTGCAACCTGACAAGGGACTGACATGGCAAATGACAAAACGGCGAGGTGATCAAGAAGTTCACAAGTGAGCCGCTGAATCCATATGGTTTTATTCAATGATTAATCGTTGGCCACCTATATAAGATTCTTGAGTAACTTTTTTCTTCAACAGAGTTACTGAGGAGAGGCCAGGCTGGTGCACTGATCCCCATCTGCCACCATGTGCAGCGTAAGGGGCTAAGGGCCCAGAATTTTATTGTGTATTTAAATTTCTTTGCCCAAATATCTGTATTACATTCAATTTGATGTGCAGATTTGTTGAAATCATGGCAACCGTGTTCTCTAGGGATGCATGGCGCTGTGTCTGGCATATGATTCAGGTGGAGTGGCACTACATGTTCAACTTTAACATTGTTTATAACAGTGGTATTCTTACACACTGTCTTCTGCAGAATGACTTGGTCCATGGATGGGGTCTTGATTTCGCTCTAAGGAAATGTGTGGAGGTACTCTTTGTTTGTTCTTTTCCTATGAAGTGACCTAGGAAAAATGATGCTGACTTTATGGGTTGATTATATTCTGGGGTGGCTGGAGTGGGCCATGAAATGGGGTGGGGGTTGGGATTCTTGGGAAGAAGCTACATATATTGGATTTTTGTTTTTGTGGTTGGATAGTGGGAAACCACTTCTCCTGAACCCCGAATAGCAATGAGAGAAGTTCAGAGCTTCTGTTCTTAGTCTGATTAACAACATTAATTCACCTAAATTTTGAAGTCTATCATCAGCAATTATTTTTGTGCTCCGCCTTCATATCATTTTCCACTTCGAATGCTATTCCAAATCATCCATGGATCACTGAGCTTAAACACTTCTGTTTTACATGAAATTAATCAGCCTGCTCATGAGAAGATTGGAGTCGTCGATGCTCAATGGATTGTTCATCAAGCTGTGCCATCACTTGGAAACCAGGTTAGCCCCTAGCCAACTATTTAGTGTACTGTCCTTCATTTTGCTCAGTGAAACTGTGTAACCTGATCTTGCACTACTTTACCTTGCAGGGCAACGCAGAGAATGGAAAAGCACCATGGGAAGGGGTAAGCAAATACATATCCTTATGTAATCTGCAGTTTTAAATGTTGTAGATATTCCCAACGCATGAACTCTGTACAGCACATAAATTCCTCTTACGATGGTACGTTTTGTCTCAGGTAAGAGCACGCTGTAGGAAAGAATGGGAGATATTTCAAACGAGGCTGGCCGATGCCGAGAAGGCATACTACTTATCACAAGGAATCACACCACCCAACTCGACCCTAGTTTAGAAGAACACACGAACACGACACGACCTCACCTGTGATGGCAAGGTTTCTATTTCGGCAACCTAGCTGGACCTTCCATATTATTCAGTACGTTCATCAAAGCAGGTGCCTCTATATAGAGCTACAGTTCCTTTGCCAGATTTGTACATGGAAAGCTCTCGTGGATCCCACGACTACTGTTTAATCCTAGCTTTGGTTCAGTTGGTTCTAGTCTCATTTTGTTTTTGGGTAGTGTGACTAGCTGCGATGTAAGTAGGCGATGTAGCATGGATTCTGAGGGCCGAGCACTTTGTTTATACAATCTGTTGTATCATTGACTGGATGCAATGTTGGCGTTGCATTGATTCCCATTACTTGTTTCATCATGTAAATTATTCAGCTGGTCTTACTGTTTTATGGAGTTAAGGTCGAGCATTTTGTTTTATGCCACCTGTGTAATCGCGGCCACGATCTCCTACAATGTTGTTGTCTAGCTGCAGCAGATGGCGGCGACTCTGCAACCTGCAAGCATGTCTTACCATAAAATTACACTGTCGAAAAAGTGTTTTTTTTTTCAAACAGGAGCGTCTCTAAAGGTAGATTCCAGATAACTACAAATTTTGTGGACAAAGTACTAGACAAGAGAGGAGCTGTTTTTTTGACACAAGTTTGTACTCCCTCCATCGACAAATGTATGCATATAGCTAAAATCCCATAAAATATTTATGGACAAAGGGAATATAATTAAACTATGGAAAATTTTGTTATAGGATATCCCTATTGTGTGGTTTTCTCCCATAAGCTCTTGTCTGGCATTGGAGGCACAATTGTGGAGTAGGCAATCCTGAACATGGCCACTGAATAGTAGGGGCTGACATAGTTTTCTAGATCCACTTCTCTCAGGGATCTAATGAAAGAGATGTCATGTCTACATGGGAGGCCTGTTAGCTGCCATTCCTTGCAGCTACATTCCTGTTTGGTCAAGTCCACTGTGTGTCTCCATGTTGTCAAGTCCATGTTTGCACCACTGACTTCACCTACAAATGGCAGACTCTTGTGGCGATTGTAGTTGAGATTCCTACTTTTGTCATGGAGTTGCTTCATTACATTTCCCAGGATATTGCCTTGCAGCTTGAGAGATAGTTTGTGCCTTGTACACATCCTCTCCATGATCATCTGCCTAATTTTGTCAAGTAGCTCAACTACAGGTAGTGACTTCTCTAGCCTAATCCAACTGTTAAATGTCTCTGCAATGTTGTTTGTGACATAGTCACACTTAGATGTGGAGAAGGTAGACCTTGCCCACAAATGCTGGTGATTCTCTTCAATCCATTGCATTGATCTTGGGGAAGCCTCCTTCATGATATTGAAATGCCTGTCAAAAACATCTTTCCTATATGCTCTTGAAGCTGGCCATAGATTTCTTTCAAATACTTCTCCATGGAACCTTTTCTGAAAATTATTGTACAAATGCCTCATGCACTCTCTATGCTCTACTCCATTGTTGAACACCCTTGTCACTGCAGCATCTATGCCCTTGCCTGCATTAGTAGACAGTACTAGGCCTTGGGAGATCCAATTGCCTTATTTAGACAAACCATGAATCATTTCCAGTTTTACTTTGTTTCAGATTCAAAAACAGCATAGGCCATTGGGAACATCCAATTGTGGCCATCTATACCAATAGCTGAAGCCAACTGTCATCTTCACTTGCCTATTAACACAGTTGAATCAATGCCTAGATATGGCCTGCACCCATTCAAAAATCCATCTATACAAGGCTTCAAAGCAACAAACATCCTACTGAATCTATGCTTCTCATTAATCACATCATACTCTATCTCCACTATACTACCAGGAGATCTCTTCTTAATCTCAGCTTTAAAACTGTACACTGCCTCAAAGCTTTGCTCCCAGCCACCAAGTATCTCATCTAAAGCCATATGCCTACCATCCCACACTACATAGTATGACAGCTTGATTAAATATTTCTTCTCTAAAGTCTTCTTTAAAGCAGCAGCCCCTATGGTTGGATCTTCTCTCAGCTTGTTGATAACCTTGTCCTTAACCCAAGAATTGCTGGTCATGCAATTATTCTCCAATTTGCCTATGCTAGCACACATATGCTCATATGGCATCTTCTTTATCTACAGTAGAAAAGGGACAGTACACAATGCATCATTGTCCAGTTGCAAAACAGAAATGACAAAGAAGTAAAAAAACTATTTAGCTACATACCTGCCAAGTTCTACCATCTGGCAACCTAGAAGTATGGATCCTCTATTTGCACCTCTTTGCCTTACAATAAGCCATGTATCTTGTGGCCTCAGAGTAGGGAACTGCAAGTTCAACCTCTTTCAGAAACAACATATTATCTTATACACCTCTTAAAACAAAGTCCATCCTCAAAAGTAACACCAATTTCTATCCTTGGATTGTCTACATCAGTTATATGAATTAGAGGCTCACAACCCCTATTATCATTGATTTCTAAATCATCTACTGGATCAGCATTCTCTTCATCACCATCATCATCATCAGGAGTATAATCTGGATCATTAGCCTCATCATCTGACACCAGCTCATTGTAATTCTCCATCTCATCACTAACTCCCACATACTCAACCTCATCAAACTCACCCCATGGATCTGGATTTGGCATTGATTGATCTGTAGCTTTGTCCCTGGACATGCTACTTTTTTTGGTGGGCACCTTTTTTATGGTAGCATCTCTGGTAGGTACATTATCAGCCTGACTTGCTTGCGTGGGTAAAACCATACTCAGTGGAACCATTGTGTCAGCTTCATCATCCACACAAAACACAATTTGGGTACAAGGCATGATATCCTCACTCACTGTCACTTGCAATGGAAGCTTCTTAACATCCCAGTATTGGTTAAATGCCTCTAACAACACAACATCAGAAGAAATTTCTACATCCCTACCCGCTCTCTTGTCCTAGAAAGTCATTGTAAGCTCCTGCGCACTACCACGGATGATTTCATCATCCAAGTCCTTCATCAAATCTATCAAGCATACTGTCTTTATCTACTACCCACTTATGTGTACTAGAAACATGATAATCTTGGCTACCGTTATCCATATACTCAACATAAGCAACAACCCTAACCACAACTCTGCATGCATAGTTCGGATCCATCCTACAATGCGACGGCAAATGAGGAGAAAAACAGGCCCCCAAATCAGATCCAACAAACCATGCATCCCAAACGAATCAAAGAGGGGGAAAACGAATCAAAGAGAGGAAAAATACTTATCCTTTGGGCATCCATTTTGGCGTCGCCGGCGTTGCCGCCACCACAGATTCCACCACCTCCTGCGATAGTGAAGCCATCACCGTAGGTCAACCTTGCATTCCGGCGGCGAAAATGCCTGGGCACAGCCAGCAGCGAGGGCGGCGGACTGGTGGTGTTTCGGGAGCTAGGGTTCTACCGCCGGTGGTGGTGGCGATTCGATCCTAAACTGCAATATGAGGATAAGGCGTAGGGGCATTTCGGTCCGACCGCGTAAAAAACCGGGCTACCGACCGCCACGTCAGCACGACAAGTTTCATTTAGATGGCATGGTGTTCATCGGCAAATATCCACGGTTATGGAGTGTCTTTCCCCAAGGCCATGTTTTTGTGGTGTCCCTGGGCTAAACCACACAATAGGGATGTGTTGACCACTATGATATAACATTTAAAAAAACTGTAAACCTTCGAATATTATAATGAACAGTAGATTTGATACTTTGCTGCTGTTTTCATTATATAATTTAACTCGATTTTGATTCTCTGTGCATTTTATAAGTTGTGATAGCAAACCTATAGATAAACATTAGCATTACTAGTCAACATGAGAAACCCAATAAAAAAGTCATGAATTTATGACTTAGGCTAATATCTCAATTGGATTGATCAAATCGGACAAAACTGAATTGAATTAAGGGCTTGTTCATTTTATAGCCACTTTCAACTCTACTAAAATTTAACGATTTTGGTACATTTTGTTATTACAAAATTTTTTCGACGCTGGATGTGTTTAGTTTAAAACCTTACCAGCATTTATAGAATTTTTCAGAGTGAAAACTTATAGAATTACTATAATTTGGTAAGGTAGTATTGGCAAGGAATAAGTCTACTTTGCCTCCCTCCACCTCATGCGTATGGTTGAATCGCACCCCTCAACCGCAAAACCAGGTATAACCTGTCCCCTAACTTCCAAAACCATTGCAAATTGACTCCCCTGGTGGTTTTGGAGGCGGTTTCGTCCTACGTGGCACTTACGTGGCAAGTTGACTTGGTCTTTATCCCATGTGACATCGACGTGGCGCTTACTTGGCACTAAAATAAAAACAAACCTAAATAAAAATAAAAAGAAATTTTGGGTCCACGTGGTAGTTACTCAACTCCTCAGTCTTTGTACTCAGCGGCGAGCAAGATGGAGAGAGCGGTGGGGCGGAGGGAGTAGCAGGACGACGGGAGCGGAGGGAGTAGCAGGACGGCTGGAGCGGTGGGGCGACGGGAACTCGGCGAACCACCTCTCCTCGCCACCAACTCCTCATCCCCGCCTCCTCTCCTCCCTTCTCATCGTGTTGATGGCGGTGTTGATGGTGTTGGTGTCAGCACAGTTCAAGACAACAGGAACGGCGGAGTGGCGGCATCTCCTCCGACCTCACCACCGCCGCCTCCCCTCCCGTGCCCCTCCTCAGCCGCCTCCTCTCCTTCCTCCCCACCTCATCCCCGCGCTCTCCTCCTCCGACCTTGCGGCGGCCAGGTTGATGGCGGTGTTGATGGTGTTGGGGTCGGCAGCTGGGTTGATGGCGGCGTTGGTGGCCTTGGGGTCCTAGTCGAGGGCATCTCCGTCAGCCAGGTTGATGGTGGCGGCCGGTGGGTGGAAGAGGAGGTGAGGTGAGGGCGTTGGGCGTGGGCGGCGTAGACCGCATGGCAGTGGTTGCCTCCTCTTCCCTCGATGAGTTTTCACCGACCATACCTTACACTGACATGTGGGGCTCGCGTGCTAACTCGGCTAGTCAACGGAGTCAAAGACGGCACGTAGGACAAAACCGCCTCCCAAACCGTCCAAGGAGTAGATTTGGAACGGTTTTGTGAGTTGTAGGATGGGTTATACCCGGTTTTATAGTTGAGGGATGCGATTCAACTAGGTGCATGAGTTGAGGGAGACCAAGTAGACTTATTCCTACTGGCAATAATATGTTTGGTTTGTTCAGAGGCGGAGGGCCCCATACGGCACGGTGGGCTGGCTGCCCAGCTAGCCACCGGCCGGGACCCCCACCTCCCCATGGATGTATTGTTCTAGGGATTTTCCTTTTTCTAGTTGCATGGCTTGATGTCCCAACAGCATCTATGCAAGATCCAACTGAGTTTCTGCTGGTGTTTTTTTAGTGTTGCTGATGCATGATGCCTTCCTAGTGTGTTGCTGCTAGCTTGCTGCTGCATGATGCTGCCTGCATCTATGTTGATTGGTTACTTGGTTAGGAAAATTCTATTAGTGGCACCTAATTAATGTCTGTGCTTTTCTATTCCATCGAGCTAAATTTAATCACTTGCTAAAACTATTGCTAATTGAGATTCAACATTACAACATCTGATAGAGAGGGTTTCATTTTATTCACTCATAATTTAATCGTCGGACGAGGGAATTAAAAATATTCGAGTCTCTTAGTTTTTGGTGAGCGGCACTTTAGATGATAACTTGATTTTGCCTTGTGACGCCATCGGCAGGCTGTTAAGGTGCCTGTCTCAAGCGCTCCAATTCATAGGATAGGTAGAATACTCGCAACGTAGATCTCCTGCGTGTTCTAGAAACAAAATAGTCGCAATGCTCGACAAGTAAAGAAATAATTAAACATATATAATTAGTCAATTTGATTGAAGGATTTGAATTTTGGATTTGTAATTAATTATTTTGTTGTTCCAATGATATCTGCCGAACGAGGTATATCCAAAATTTAATGGACGTTTACAAAACAGTCGCATTGCTGGTAAATCAACTCAATAATTATCACTACACCACATCTGTTCAACTTAATAATTAATAATGATTGAAACTTTGTGGTGTGTAAGGAGTCTGAGTGTCCTGTCATTTTCAAATTTCAACCCAACGTTAGTATTAAATGAATAGCCTAAATTTATTGACTTAATATTGTTTTAGAGCCATGATTAAAATTTATTGACTTAATATTGTTTTAGAGCCATGATTAACTTCTTAACTTATTGACAATTTAGAGAAGCAATTATTAGTTCAGAAAAGAAGGTCAACCATATACAATAATTTCAAAATTAAGCAAATAAATTAAAAGAGGATGATAATTTATTAGACATGTTTAAGGTTAATTTTTTATAATCTAGCGAAAGCACTAGTGGTGCAGTGGAGTCATGGATACATGACTTCACCCAGGTCATAAGAACACAATTATGTACTTTTAATAGGAACTTAGTGATGTGTTAAGAGGGTGCACTCATGGGTGTGTGCTCATCAGCTCATGTAAGCATATGTTCATCTTCTGTGTAAGTGCGTAAGAATTACTCCTACCAGATATTGAAGTCAGTTTGAGATTTCAATTAGAACTGTGCTCAATCTATAACTAACTAGTTTTTTCATATTAGGATGAAAAATTAGATTGTGAGCAGAGTTTGAAGACAAGAGAAAAAAAGTTGAACTTTTCCGTTACCAGATTCCTTATGACGAGAAATTTGGCAAAAATTTCGTCCAAAACAATTTCTTTTAAAACTATAACGCCCCCTCCAAGTCTGGGTTCATGCATCCTAATTAGTCACATCCCCATAAATCTCAAATGCCATACCGATCAGGTCATGCACCAACCCGTATTTCTTTCAAAATTTCTAGATTGGCATCAGTAGGTTCTATTTTTTGACGCAACAGTAGGTTCTATTTCATCGTAACCATTGTGTCCACAGAAATATACGTACGCCGTATATACCTTTTGCTTACATCCATGGCAAAACACAGAGCCAGCTGACCTTCGCTTTACTGGCACTGAATCATTGAAAGCAATTTGCCTCCATTTTCTCCACGAATTTCCCTATCAGCTTTGTCGGCTACTGCTACCATGAACAACCCAAATTAAAGCCATATATCAATCAAACTATAATAACCGAGAGAGCCTGGTCCAAGATGAACAGTTAAATACAAGCTACTAGACCGTTTCGAACATCTCCATCATGTTAATTCTGTCACTCGTTAAGTCACACGTCCTCATCACGCTATGAATGCAAGGCTCAATTTTTCTCTTCTTTTTTTTTCAAACCAAATATGAGTAGGGAGATTGACTAGGCAAATTCAAAAGACTTCGGAATTCAACGTACGCGTTGATATGAACCACAATTGAGCTGAAACAGTATAAACAGTATAGTAGATCATTTGCATTGATCAAACAGTAACAAAAGTACGTACGTGTCGCCGCGCCGCGCCGCAGACATGACCGGAACAAAGTACGTGTCGTGGTGCCTCGCTCTCCTCCTCCGCCTTGCGGCCGTCGCCGGACTCGCCGACGACGGCCAGTTCCTGTACAACGGCTTCGCCGGCGTCAACCTGACCCTCTACGGCGCGGCCAGGATCACGCCGAACGGCCTCCTCAAGCTCACCAACGGCACGGTCCAGCAGACGGGCCACGCGTTCTACCCGCCGCCGGTGAGGCTCCGCCGCACGCCGTCGACAAAGACGAACGGCACCGGGAACGAGAAGGCGGTCCGGTCCTTCTCGTCCTCTTTCGTGTTCGGCATCGTCACCGCCGACACCCAGGACCTCGGCGGCCACGGCGTCGTCCTCGTCGTGGCGCCCAGGGCGAACCTCACCACCGGCCTCGCCAACAACTACATGGGCCTCTTCAACGGCACCGGCAGCGTCGGCAGCGCCAGCAACCACCTGTTCGCCGTCGAGCTCGACACCATCCAGAACCCCGACTTCCGCGACATCAACAACAACCACGTCGGGATCAACATCAACGACCTCGCGTCGCGCGACAACGACAAGGCAGGCTACTACGACGACGACGACGGCCGGTTCCACGACATGACCCTCATCAGCGGCGACGCAATGCAGGTGTGGGTGGACTACGACGGCGACACCACGCGGGTCAACGTGACGCTGGCTCCGCTCGGGGTGCGGAAGCCGGCGAGGCCGCTGCTGTCGGCGATGCACGACCTCTCGACGGTGATCGTGGGTGAGTCGTACATCGGCTTCTCGTCGGCGACGGGCACGCTGAGCACGCAGCACTACGTGCTCGGCTGGAGCTTCGGCGTCGACATGCCAGCTCCGGCGATCGACGCGGCCAAGCTGCCCAAGATGCCCAAAAGGAGGACACGGTCTGATCAGTCCAAGACAATGGTGATAGCTCTACCCATACTCTCTGTGGTTCTCCTGCTGTTTATGGTTTCCTGTGTTATACTTGTGCGGAAACGGTACAACCACGGTGAATTGCGTGAGGATTGGGAGGTTGAGTTTGGGCCGCATCGGATCCCCTACAAGGATTTGCGTCGAGCCACGGAAAGGTTCAAGAACAAGAACTTGCTCGGTGTTGGAGGGTTTGGGAGGGTGTACAAGGGAGTATTACCAAAATCTCGTTTGGAGGTCGCGGTGAAGAGGGTGTCACATGAATCGAGACAGGGAATGAAAGAGTTCGTTGCCGAGGTTGTCAGTATTGGTCGCCTCCGGCACCGGAATATTGTGCAGTTGCTTGGCTACTGCCGACTTAAAAATGAATTACTTTTGGTTTACGACTACATGCCAAATGGGAGTCTCGACAAATATTTATATGGTCACAACAACATGCCCGTCCTCAGTTGGGCTCAGAGGTTTCTAATTATCAAGGGCATTGCGTCTGGTTTATACTATCTTCATGAGGAATGGGAGCAAGTTGTAGTCCATAGAGACATCAAAGCAAGCAATGTGCTACTTGATAGCGAGATGAATGCTAGGTTAGGTGACTTTGGTCTCGCTAAGCTGTATAACCATGGCAGCGATATGCAAACAACAATTATTGCGGGTACCTTAGGTTATCTAGCTCCTGAGATAACTCGAACCGGAAAGGCATCCCCTCTAACCGACGTGTTCGCGTTTGGTGTATTCCTTCTTGAAGTTACCACTGGACGGAAACCTGTGGAGCGAGACACTGAAGGAGGCATACACATGTTGGTTGATCTCATATCTGCGCATTTGGACAGGGAGACACTACCCATGGATATGGTAGATCCAAGACTTGAAGGTGAGTATAACACTGATGAGGCGAGTTTAGTGTTGAAGCTAGGGCTTTTGTGCTCGCATCCATTGCCCGATTTAAGGCCGAGCATGCGACAAGTCATGCAGTACCTCGATGGTCAGTTACCATTCCCTGAGCTCGTCCCGTCTCACACGAGCTTCAGCATGTTATCCATGGCGCAAAGCCGAGGTCTTGATTCATATGCCATCTCTAAGTCGTTATCGTCCATGGCGAGCATAAGCCAACTAAGTAGCTTCTCAAGTGGGAGATGATCGACATGCATTCAGCTAGCTGGCCCCTGTTGTCTAACTCTGTTTTTTTAGTAGTGTGTTAGCCTGATAGGTTCCATTTTTCTTTTACACCGAGTCTCTGAACATGCAATTTGTTTGTGTTAAAACATGTTCATGTAGTTGACTATAGTATAGATTGTTCAGTGATGTATGTCCGTCGCAGACATTTGTTCACTGTGTATGTAGATTATTGATGTTAAACTTTCATAGAACATGATAATCAGAGCAAGATTTGTGGTTCAGACAAATTAGTTGATTGAGATTGTAAATGAACCCATCCGATTGGTGGTACTAGCTTCTTCATGTTTGTGCTTCTTGGAAACTATGGGTGCAGTGCATGTCTAAATATCGATTTCTAAATCCATCAGACAACCGAAATACTGGGACTCAGAAGGAAGAGAGAAACATTACTACATATTTTCTTTGTAGTTCTGTATAGAGCTAAGATAAATCTTTTATCACTGTTCATAGTTGTACATGACACATGAAAACATGTACTGAAATTTCAGACATGTTTGGATGGCACAATCGGCTCCATTGTAACATTGTGGATGATAACCACTGTAACATGCAAGGCAGTCACCCCGAGATGGAGCCAAACTATTATTTTGGCTGGTTTTGATACACGGCCTTACGGCCATAGCCATGACAACATAGCTTCAGGAAATATGGCATAGATCAATCAAGCATAAGATAAAATATTAGCAGGGTATTCTCTGGCACCTAAGAATAGGCCATCTTCAAATTCCATCCTCCTTTTCAACAGATCCATCTTGGAGAAACAATTAGTAAATTTTAGAACCTGCAAAACTGCTCGTGCATATTTGGAAATGTGGATCATTCCACATAATCTTCTAGAGATTCCAAGATAAGCTCAAGTAATCAGGTTTACAGTTTGGAACCTCTTGTCAATAGACCATATGGAGGATATTGAGAGCATATCATTCCCAACGTTCTTGAACTGAATATGACAGATCGACAGATCCTCCACGGAGCAATCTACCACAGACACAAAGAATAGGCGGATAATGCTTTCCTCATTACAATAACACAAGAACGAACTGGCATATGATGCCTATTAAACATATTTTATCTAGCTAGTACCTTCTGAAACTGAACTGATGGGATTTTCAGATTCCTAACAGCAGGAACAACCATTTGGAAGCCCCCACGTGCAGCAAAATTTGAACTGATTACAAACTACAGTAATTTAGCTTCCAATCTGAAGAATCATCTGCTTCAGAAAGAGTGACTAAACAATCAGATTCAGGGCTTTCTATGAGCCAACACATCCCAGGCAAAGAATGCCCCAAGCTTAGATGAACAACAGTCCATGATCACAGAAACTATAACATCAGACTTGCACAGACCAAACATTGCAGGTTTACAGCAAGAGATAGGTACCTAAGGGCAAGTGAAATTATGATTCCCTAATAGAGTCAAATATATAGCTTGAAACTCTCAATTATGTGTCTTAAATCGACCATGTTCACATTTGCAGAGTAACAACTGACAGATGTTATCTTACAAAATGTTAAGACCTTCAAAGGGAGGCTCAGGTCCGTTGGTTTCCTCAGTTTTCATACATCAAACACTAACATTTATTTTACCTGCTCAAAAACAGAGATAGCAACTTGTCTAATTGAGATGCACTAAGAACCAACATCATAATTCATGTTATAGAGATCCACCAGATATGTGATAGCAGTACGGCTAGTTTATCTGCTCTGTATTAGCTTCTTTAGTGTCTGCATCTTTTATCAGGTTTGCTAGCATCCCCAGATGGTTCAGTGAGCTTTGTGCGGTTCTTCGAAAGACCTGTAACCCCATTTGCTGTGTGGTGTTGTGTGAACTACTGTTTTTGTGGGCTTTCTTGCAAAACTGGATCACATTTATCAAAAAAGTATCAGACAGAAGATTTGATCAGCAAGAAAGTTCTCAAGGACCAAACCAGTTTCTACATCTACATTCAAAGGGGTCAGTAAATGACAAATCTTGGACATGCTTAATATCTGAATCTCCACAGCGACATCTATCAGTGGTAAAATAGAAATGAGCACATCTTGAAGCCCTTTTGTCCAGCTGAAGCATCCGACATTGTTTTGCAACAAACTCCTCATAGCAATCTCCAGTGTTTACCACAAATTTCATAGACTCTAGCACTCTCGCGTTCAGTACAAATAATTGGGCAAAGTGAACTTGTGACCAGATACCCCGATAATTGTCCAAAACTACTGTCTTGAGACAGATGTCAATGTTCTTGTTAAGATTCCGGTATTTATGCCACCAGACCTTTTTGTATCCCATTGACAAGCCTGAAAAAGGACAAAGAATAAAAATCAACCATTTTGGTGGAGCAGTAATAAATTAATCACAAGGGCAGCCTGAAACAATAAACAATTGGTAAAGAATAGTTACCTTGAAGTATAACCTATCCAAGCAAGGAAAGCAGCATCAAGTCAATAACATTATCCACATTAAGCATATCCACATGGATACCTAAAATCTTCACATTGCACACAACCTCCGCCAAACTTTCGTACTTAACTCCCTTCAACAAGCATAGGCCATCTATAAGAGCAGACATAAATTTCATCCACACCAACTTAGAAGCCTTCTAAAGGGGAAAAAAAGAGCATGGTTACCTTAATAACTGTGGTGCCAAACGTGAACCTGGAGTGGACAAACCATGGATCACAAAGGCAGCCTACAGCCTTCAGTTTAGGCGCGGAAATTATCAAATACATGCAGGTCATTGCGCGATTCAAGATGGGGCAATTTCTCAAGAAGAGGGGCGTCCTCGATGATGAGTTCTTGTAATTGAAGGTGTCCAATGCTATTACGATAGGATATGATGCGTGCACCGATGCTTCGAAGGCTAGGGGAATTGATCCGAAGATAATGGAAACCAAGGTTGCAGTTAAGCAGCAAGCATTCCAGGACAGGGCAGCTGGCAATCATGCTGTGAAGTGAGCCCTCAGAGACGGTGACATGCTCAAGCCCGAGATGCTACAGATGGGGAAAGTGTAGCTCTTGGATGGTGGCGTCAGGGAGCAGGCATCTGCCGATGGTGACAACACGGAGGCTGGAAGAGAAGCGGAAGGTGGGTGCCGGCGGCGGCGCATCTCCTTCTCTACAGTAGCGTTCGCTGATGAACTCTAAGCTCCTTGAGGTTGTCGAGCGTGGCGGATCGGAGCCAGGCGTCCACGGCGTCCGGCCGGTCGACGAGGTGGTGCGCTGGGACGCACAGACGGCGGCAGGGGCCAGGATGGGTGGAGAGGATGCTGGAGACCACGCCAGCGGCGAGGGCGTCGTTCTTGGCGCTTAGGCTGGTAGTAGTGCAGTCGAGGTTGAGCGAAGAGGAGCGCCAGATGTGGCGCCACCGGCAGGCGAGGATCTGCGTGCTGCCGGCTTCTTTGGTGGGGAGGCGGGCGACGATGTCGCCAAGGATGGCGTCCGGGAGGTTGCTGATGTGGTCGGCGCCTTCTTCGTCCTCCTCCGCCGCCGCCGGATGCTCCTCCGCTTCTCCGATCTCAGGTGGTCCCGACCTCCTCCTCCTCTTCGCACTCCGACCCGACGCCCCCATTTCGTCGAGCACTTGTGTTTCACTGCTTCTTCTTCGCTCCTGTTGGCGCCTGTGGTTCTGTCCTTCGCCGGAGGACTCGGCGGCGGCGGGCGGCGGGCGGCGGCGGATTGCCCGCTCCCTGGCCGTGTGACCGGTCTCAACTTCCTGTCATGGCCCGTGGCCGGCGGCGTGCGATGCCGAGGTGAAGCAGGCGACGCGCGGGAGATGCGAATTGACGGCGCGAGAATTAGGGATTTCGGGAGAAGGAGGAGACTTGAGGAGGGGAGGAGGAAGAATCTGAGAAATGATCTAACAGAGCCCAGCGTCATGGGCCCACCAGGCCCAGTAACTGCTTCATCTGCCGTCATTGTTGTCAACCGATGGGAATGATGATATAAAATGGCCCGTGCTTTATGGTGGGATATATCTTTGATATTAGAGAAACGATGAAATGATTTATAGATTAAAGTATTATGAAAATAATTTAAGAATGGTGATTTAGAAAAACGGCATCATTGCTATGGCATGAAAAGAGTTTCTGGTCCGGATATACAAATTATGCAGACAAAAGGCCATGTCGAGTGTTCGTCGTGAAAAAACTTTGAATCCAGGAAACTTGCAGTTTAAATACAGTAATCTAGTTTTAGAATGAAATAAATTGTAGTATACTTGCATGTTGAGTTTTTGTGTGTTTAATGGGTTGATGTGGCATGTTTACATGTAGGTTTTAGGAGCGCTAATAAATACTATGCTTGCATATTAAGTTTTAGGTGTTTTATGGGCATTAGTTTTATAGAAGGAAGATATACGCCCCGTTCTTTTAAGATACATATTTTGTTTTATATTAGTTTTGGTTAACACGTCCTTTAAACTATTGTAAACGGTGTATTTTATAAAAGTAATTGTTTATATAAAAGTCATTCTAAAATATCAGATAAATCTATTTTCAGTTTAAAATAATTAAATTATTTCCCTCATTTTAGTATTTTACGTGTCCAGATGTGATTTTTATGGTATAAACACGGTATTCCTCTGGTACTCCCTCCGTCCCATAATATAAGTTATTTTGGACCCAAAATAACTTATATTATGGGACGGAGAAAGTAATAATGAATTTGGGATGGAGTGTCACCTAAAGTTTTTATATTACAATAGCTAGTGCGGTGTAGAAAAAATTGGCGTTAATTAAATTAGATTTGTTATATAACTCTTAACTCCCGGCGTCCCGATTTGATGGCTCATTGGGAAGCCCTTACACGGGCACATGGTCAGTCGGCTGCAGGCAACTCGAGCACGGGAAGGGGAAAACTTACACGCGACCAAGCATACGGCGGTGACGGCGGGAGCGTTGGCGGTGGCAGCGGCAGAGGCAGAGGCACCAGCAATCGCTGATTGGACACCTGGCAACCCCCCCCCCCCCCCCTCCTCCAAGTCTCCGGTCCAGTGCACGTTTGTACTGGCTCTAATGGCCATGATGGTGTTGCCAAAGAAGTTTGGATTGGAAAATGTGAAAACAGAATACAGTCCAGTAGTCCACATTTTGCTGCGTTAATTTGTTACTGCCAACAGGGAACTTGGATGGGGTAGAATTTTTCCCAGGACTTGCAAGCTTTTATCCTAAGGACATTGAAGGCTCCGATTTGATAAAACTTGAGCTCCAACTTGATACATATATTGATGATATGAGAGAGGATGATAGATTAAAAGGCCTAAACAACATTGATGAGCTCTCTATATTAAGCTTGTTGAAACAAAGAAGCAAAAGCTCTTGAGTTTTGACTAGTATTGTAATATCCTTGCGTCAAAAAAAGTACTGTAATATCCAATTTATCTGAAGACTTTATGTATGTTTGAACAATTTACATCTTCATTTAGGTAAGATTTATACTTATTTGTTATTTTCTACTACTTGTATTGAACCATTTAGAGTTATATACCATATTGTTTACCACATTTTATATCGAATCATATTGTATTGCATTCGGATTTTTTTTTTTGGCTAGGCCTACCCTGGGTTCAAATCCTGGGTCCGCCACTGATCCTGTGTTCATATGTGCATATAATTTTGTATACGATAGATACATATTAGTTGAATTGGATTTCTTTTTAAGATAATAGTTCAATTGGATTTAAGGGCATCACCAATGTATATTGTAAAAGTGATCCATATAGATGGGACCCACATAAAGAAACTTTAACTATAGCCATCTCCACAATGTATATAGATACAAGGTAGCATTAGGATATGAGAGAGAAATAGAGATAGATAGTATTATTTATTCCATATGGGTAATCCATATGCTTATAGATACCTTTAGTTATTTTCTTCATATGGACTAGTTGTACAATGGTAGTAGGTAGCTGAATGAAGTATAATATTGACTATGGACTATTGACTATAACTTGTTTATGTTTTTACTTTGTATACAATTATATAATTAGAAATATAATTAGAACCCGCTACGATGTAACAAACAATATATTTATTTTTTTTCCTCTGACTAAAATGTTTAGTCTTCGGAGCAAACGTGGTGGCTCTAATTCAGATTCATATATCCAATCCTGATACTAATTGAAAATTAATCAACATGCTCCTATCTTCTATGGTCCCGATCTCTTCTATTACCAGCCATGGAGGCGTAGACGAACAAGCGAGACGTTGAACACTACCTTTTGAGACTAACATTGGATCAATAATTAAAAAAGATGAATACCCCACCGCATTGCTGTGAAAAATTAAGTTGCATAATATATACAAATAAGATGTAATATGATTATCAAAACTAAAACAAATTGATACAATTTTGCAGCCTAAAAATAATTGAGATTGCATAGTTTTATAAGAGAAAAGGAAGAGACAATTTGAACCATAGATCTATTATTCAAAGGCTAGAAATAATTAGAGTGATGTGGTTTAACGAGAGAAGAGAGTAATAGATCAAAACTAAAACAAATTGATACAATTTTGAGCCTAAAAATAATTGAGATTGCATGGTTTTATGAGAAAAGAAATAAGAGATAATTTGAACCATAGATCTATCATCCAAAGGCTAGAAATAATTAGCGTGATATGGCTTAATGAGAGAAGAGAAAAATACTATTAACTATACTTAGTGGGGAAGAACTATATAAGTATATAGGATTCCTTTATTTCCTGATGAGCCACCTATATATGTTTTTTAAGATGAGGTGTTGGATTTGGAAAGAACGGAGGGGAGGAGAAGAGTCATGGCACTTCCATTAGGGCAACCTCAATGTATGTTGCCAAACTTGATAGTAGTGTGGGGCCAAGAGTGAGAGGTGGTAGTGGTACATGATAGAGTCCACAATGTATCTGTGTAAGCACTAGAAAATAAGCTGGGACCCTCTTAAAGAAAAGCATCTATTCTCAGCATCATGTTGTTGGAAATTTGGTCATAATTCGGTATATTTTAATCCAAAATAACAAGATAATAAACATGATATTTACAATGGGATTTGATCCAGTGGTAGTGGTGAATGTAATCAACATGAGCATGCTTAACGTAGAATAAGCATCAACAATCACATAATAACACAATGTTGACATTGCGATGAACATTAACAGTAAAACTTTTAATTGAAATAATGTAAGAAGGTTATACCCCAAGAATGGTCCTCCGCCGGAGTTTGGGGCAGTATTGCCTCCGTTGGTGTTGACGGGAGCCTCCTTCTCTTTGTCTCCACTGTTGCCGTTGTCTCCAGTGTTCGACATGTTGGTGAAGGTGAAGTAGATGTTGACGAACAGTGAGTAGTCGTGCCTTGTGCTCCCCAAAAACATGATCGCCCGCCCGTCCGTGCAAACGTCGCAGCAGCGCTGGTTTCGGAGGCCTACTCTCCCAACGCGTATGCACACACTCGTTGGGATGGGATTACCGTAGCAGCAATAGCATTGGAAAATGGATGAAAGTGTGTCTCTCTTCTCTCGCGGGAGATCAAATCCATTATCATTTTATAAGAGGAATGGAAGATGAAGAGTAAGAGTCATGGAATAGGAAGAGGAATAGAGTAACTAATTCTCATCAATTAGCCATCAACCATCCTCCACTACACAACCATCAACCAACAATCAATTAGGAGTAATTGATGTAAGTTACCAACAGAATAGGAAGAGTAATAGAGCAACTAATTGTCATCAACTAGCCATGAACCATCCTCCACTACACAACCATCAACCATCCATCAATTAGGACTAATTGATATAAGTTACCAATTCCCTAATTCCCTAATCAAATGGATTAATTCTCAAAACTATTCATCCCATTGATATCCCATAAAAGAATGAATACACATGAATTCCTAGCATAATGAGCCTTAGAATTTATTTGATTTAATTGATTTAAATGGATCAATTACCCAATTAAATCTAACACATGTGACCCTATAGTACTGTATCAAAATTATAGTTTATTTCTTATTACCGGCAATAGCACTATGACCTGGTTGTTGTTGTTGTTTATCACTTCCACAATGCTTCTTACTAGGTAGTAGGGGTCTTTTTCATGTTTATTACCTGGTTTTTTATACATTGTGGATGCCCTTAGAAGATCTCGAGAAGGCATGTGGGAATAAAAAAACAAGTCATGGATAACTTTAACCAGAAAAGGAATATCATCGATAAAAATTTCAGAGTTAAGCTGGAAAAAAAGGGGTTTGCAAGAATTATGACACTATATTCTTTTAATTTTAGTCACTTTTTTCCATGTGATTACTCTCTCTTCTCTATGTATAAGATTTTATGTCTCCCATCTCATTTTTCAAATAGGTAATAAATTATTTTTCATGTCCACCTACCACACCACCGTTGTTAGGGAGGAAGAGATGATAGCGCGGGTTTGAGTTGGGATGGAGGAGGAAGCGCGGGTGCAGATGGAGAAATCAAAGATGAACGAACAAGAGAAAGGGGGGATTGAGTTACGAATGACTAAAACAAAAGTATATAATTCAAAACAAGGTTATCCAAATATTCAGAAATTAATACTTATTTAAGTGTTCAAAAGTTATTTGGACTGATACTTCAAATATAATACATGCTAATAGGAGTACATAGCTGAGAACCTTCTAATATTATATTTACAATAAATTTAATACGCTTGGCATGTTAATTATTTGTCATCATGATAAATAAAAGAATGTTACTACACTTCCTACCAAATCTGTTCCTCAAGAACCTATTTACAATATATAATAACATGTTATAACATTTATTAGATACGAGAGGTTATACTCATACGAACGCGCGACTCTGCTGTCTAGTAGATTT